ACTCCAAACCCATTGCCATCGAGGCGATTCCGACTCGTAGCGACCCTATAGGACAGGGTAGAACTGCCCCGTAGAGCGCCTGGTGGATTCGAACTGCCGACTTTTATGGTTAGCAGCTGTAGCTCTTAACCACTACACCACCAGGGTTTCCAACACTAGTAAGTGTCCCCATTTTCGTGGTGGAGATAAACTGGTCTCCTGAGTGGGTACTTTAACAACATTTAGGCTTCCCTCCACCAATGAAGCTGCAGCCACTTTTTCCCCTGAAGTACCGAAAACCAAACACATGTCTACCAGCAAATACACTTTCTTAATAATTGACTGTGACCTAGCACCTTCTAAAATAACAACCCAGCCTTGTTATGGTAAAAGCCTATTTCTAGTCTGGTTTCCATGGCCTCCACATTAACTGAAATGACCATGCCTGAGACATCTAGAATGTTCCTGTGCTCAAATAGTTTCTCAGCTGATGGCAGGGGTAGGCGGTTCAGTTCACCACACCAGATAAAATCTTAGAATGCCACTAAATTAATTAGCAATGAGAAATACATCTGCCAAGGCAGTTGGACTATTCATGTCCCTTGGTCAGAGCATTATTTCCCCATAGGAAGAATTACATAAGGAGGCAAATTATAACTTCAGAGTTACTTTTTCACCATGATTCAGAGCAAGTAAAATTAATTAGATTTACTTGATGGCTAGTGTCATCTTGTACAATAGTCTGTATGCAACCATTTCCATTATGGGCAATCTGCCAGGTAAAGCAGATACTTGATTCTGCTAGATAAGCACCGTTTCCTTTGAACAGAATTGGAGACATACGGAAAGACAAGTTCTTGCTCTTCAGACTCCTTTTTCTGAATTCAGTCCTAGTCATTTCCCTTCTGTCCACACCTTTTCTAAGTAGCTACCATACAGTTGTGTACCTACTTAGATGATTTTGATTATGATTACACTGATTGGAATGTGGGAGTTACCAAAACTCAGCCACCTGTTTACAATTGATTTTATTAAAGTGGATTACTTTTTGTGTTCCCGTTTAGAATCACAGAAGTAGAGAACTGGAAGTTACCTTAGAGATCATATAATTCAGTGCCTTTATTGTAAATATTTTTTTTTTTTAATTGAGGCCTGAATCTGAATCTAAGCAAGCCTCTAAACCAGCACTATCCAACAGAATTTTCTGCAGTGATGGAAGTGTTCCAAATCTGTGCTGTTCCAAACAGTAACCATTAGCCACATGTAGCTATTGAACACTTGAAATGTGGCTTGTACAACTGAGAAATTGTTTTGTTTACTTAAATTAGTTTTTAATTTAGTTTAATTTTAATAGTGATATGTGGCTAAAACTACTGTATTAAAAAATGTAGCACTATAGCTAATTTACATTTGTAAGAAACACAGGGGCTGGAGGAACAAGTTAAATGATACTGGGAAGAAGCAAATAGACAAATGAAGAATGTGACATTCTACAGGACAATTGACCTGGTTCATGTAAAAGGTTAATGGCAGGAAGACAAGGTGAAAGGGCTTACTCATCTTGTCTAAAAAAGACTAAAGAGACAATGGTCAAAAGTGATGTGTGAACCTTCTCTATATAGTGATTTGAACAAATCAACGGGGAAAAGCATTTCTGAGAGAAAAGCAGGAAAATTTGATTATGGACTGGATATTATTATTTTTGGCAGGCATGATAACAGCATTGCAGTTCTGTAAAAACAATTACTTTCTTTGAAAAGTTTACCAAAACATATAAGGATGAAATGACATAGTGTCTAAGGTTTGTTATAAAATATTTCAGCACAAAAAAGAGAAAGAAAAAATTTTTAAGGAAAAAGCAAATTCTTGATAAGTGTGGAATCTTGGTGTTCATTATAGTATTCTCTGTATATGAAAATACAAAAACAAATTGAAGTCCAAGGGGATTGACTTGCCCTGTAGCACACTGCTGGAACTAGAACCCAGAACTCCTTATATATTGTGCTGCCTTTTCAGAGTTCACAGGATAATGAGTTTAGAGCAGGGTTTCTCAGTTTCAGCACTGCTGACATTTTGGACTGGATAATTCTTTGTTTCAGAGAACTGTCCTATGCATTGTCGGATGTTTAGCAGCATCTCTGGCCTTTACCCAGTAGGTGTCAACAGCATCCCCTAGTTGTGACAACCAAAACTGTCTCTAGACAATGCCAAATATCCCCTGGGAGACAAAATCATCCCAGGTGAGAACCTGTGGTTTAGAACATGGTTCCTAGGATTCTCTAGTCACAATAAGATGTCTTTTTAGGACATCACATGAGAGACAAAGTAGATTCAGCTACCTTGAGAACTTCAAGAATGAGAACTTGGAGGAGAACTTCAAGAATGTGATCTAGTACTAAAAGTGCAAGTTAACTCAAGACGGCTGCCTATGAGTGGCTACCTCTAGAATGGGGACTAGAAATCAAGTATGCATAATAATCATTTGTTGAGCACCTACAATGCACATAGTACAAAATGCTTTACATCTTTTATTACTTCTCCTCAAAATAACATTGCAAGGCAGATGGTATTCTCATTTTACAGATTAAAAAGGTGTGGTTCAGAAAGTTTAACTGTCACAAGGTCACACAGCTAGCTACAAAAAGGAGAGGCAAAACTCAAGCCAGTAAGCTATGTCTGACTTCAATATCCATGTACTTTCCAGTTGGATTGTGTGTAAGGTTGTGTGTCAACCTGCCTGGGCCATGATTCTCAATGGTTTGGGAGTTACGATGTAGTTTGGTAGCTATGTGATGATGTAATCACCTCCATAATGAGATCTGATATAATGTAATCATGTCTGTAATGAGATTTGCTATGAGCAGCCAATCAGTTGAAAAGAGTTTCCTTGGAGGTGTGGCCTGCATCCAATATATGTGGACTTTCTGACAAAACTCGCAGACTTTTGCTCGCACTGAATCCTGCATCTGGCTCCTCAACTGACCTCCAGTTCTTCGGACTTGTGCTAGCAGCTGCCGATCTTGGGATTTGTCAGCCTCCCCAGCCTGTGAGCCAGCAGCCTGCCATCTTACCAGCCAATCTTGAGATTCACCAGCCTCTGCAGCCTGTAAGCCAGAAGCCTTCTGTCTGACCTGCAGATCTGGAGTTCCTCAGCCCTGTAGCTATGTGAGTCAGAAGAAGCCTTCAGTCTGACCCACAGACTTGGGATTTTCCAGCCTCTACAACCGTGTGAGCCATTTTCTTGATATAATTCTTTCTCTCTGTCTGTCCCCTCCGTGTATGTGTGTGTGTGTGTGT